TGGCTGATCGACAAGAGACTGATTCGCAAGCACGACTGGAGTAGGACGTTTCTCAGTGGTAAGTGTCAAGTGTTAACAAGTTTGTGGTAATTATAAGATGTGATAAAACAAAGTTACTCTCACAGCGTAGGATACAGCATCTTCGCCACATGATGTTAACCACACAGACATTTTACTGTTTGTGGGCGGGCAAGTTGGCGACGTAGAACGTGGGCAGACATTATGCAAATGTATTTTAAGATTCAAGGTAACCTACACTACAATCATTCTATTAATGATCCTTCACCAATGAAATGCAATGAAAAACAGTGACCACACCTACCTGATATGAAGGTGACCCATATCTGCATTCCCCAGAAGGTGGAGAGAAACATGAGGTGAAGGAGTTTGGCAGTGACGGGAGGCTCTCGGTCTGTAGACATTGTCACAGGCACACTATCGTCTTTCACCTCCCTCACTCACTGTCACTATGCTGTTTAAAGGTGTGACACAAAAATTACATCAGCCTTATTGTTCTTAAATCACACAAGATTTATGTAAGACTCAGAAGTCATAACAGTATAAATGTCTTAAGTCATGTACTTGATGCATCATGCACACTACAAAACACACCCTGCCTTATAAACAAAAGAGGTAGAGGCAATCACCTTTTACCCACGACTAACAGGGCATACCATAATGGAACAAACCTTCTTAAATAAGATCTGCACCTAATATAAATCATATCAGGCACACTGACTGCAAACTATTGTGTGGTGGTAACAAAGCAACAAGACAAATGGAGAATACTCTTAAAATCTGAAAGTAAAACCAACTTAAAATGTTTAAATTCTGTCACAAATATGTTGTTCCAAACCAAGCATGACAACCATAGTCAGGGTTGCCAGATCTAAGTAACAAAACTATCCCAATGGCCAATCATAACTAACCCAAAACTACCCCACTGACCCTAGGCCCAACATAACTTAAAATATGCTAATTTCATACATAAAATATATATTTTACAGTCATTGGTATGCATTAAACAAATCACAATATAAACAAAATCACTATAGGCTAGAAGTAATTATATAAAAAAAAACAGTCTTTCAAAAAAAATGCACCTTCTTCACAACAAATTTGGTAGAATATAAAATGGGTGAAATATTTCAGTACAAGCATCTCAGTCAAATACAATTTACGTAATGAGTAAAACCTCTTGTAAAAACGTAAAGAGTAAAAACTCTTGGCAACCCTGACCCATGTCACCATTCACTTCATTGTGTGGGAAAATGTGCCAAGAAAGTGACATATGACAGAGACTGTCAATCTAACTAACATGTTTTGTGCTCCACATAAGAAAGAAAGTCATACGAGACATGAGGGTAAATATATAACAAATTTATATAACAAATAATATATAAAATATTTTTGGGTGAACTGTCCCTTTAAGAATCGTAAGCGTAAGTGAACTACTCTGATTCACTACTAATGCCATGTCCAGAATGTGGGCTGTGTCTCAAAACATACTACGCTGCCTACCTAGACTGCATCTTTGGCTCATTCTGAGTACGCACGCGCCTATAATTACTATACAGTCTATGATAATTACGCATAGTGCTGTCTATATAGGCAGCTCGCTAGTTCAGATACAGTCATGGTGTCCAAACCTCCAAAGCTTCCGATTAAGCACAGCAACTCAACATCAGAGGAAAATTCTTTCCTATTTGAATTGGCACCCATTTACAGTAGAAGACAGACAAGCTCTCGTAGCACGTCATTTCTGTTGCGGCTACACCTGGATTATGACAGACTGGATTTCATTACTGCTACATGCTGTCTCCATGATGTCGATCTACTTACCAGACGATCACCCGTGACTATGTAAAACGTCGATGGCCGGTTGCGCGTCACGGCCAGTAGCAACACCATAAATGTACGATAAAGGAGGAACCGGTGTGCAGCCGCAATAGCGCTCGGACCGGTGGGCGGGGTTTATGCGTACTCGGCATTCCAAGCGGTCGGAGTGGTTTGGTGGGCGTGGTTTGTGTATGTTGTCGTTATTGTTGGGCGTGGTTTTGTACACTGGTGGGCGTGCTGTGTGTAGACGGGTTTTCTTGATTATGGTAATTATTGATGAATGGAAAATGTGTTTCTTGTACATTTACAAACTCACACACACACACACGTTGAACCGTTTAACTATTTAAATGGGGAACAAAACTAATTTATTGTTTTATATACAGCTGCTATTTATAAATGCAATGCATATAACCTAATCCTAACACTTCTTAACTGAACCTGCAATATTTATACCCATTAAATACAGACCATAAAGGGTGTGAATGAGCAAAATCAGTGACAATAATATAAAGTAGACCTAAAGTATAGCCTATGTTATGAAATTCCATAAATTTACCAAGAAAAAGACACTTTTTACCTGCGTCCCAAATTTTATATAAAAATGCTAGTGTTTTACTTGTTTACTACTACTTCTACTACAAATACAGCTAAATCAGTAATACTGTGAAGCATTTTTACAATTTAAAATAACTGGTTTCTATTTGAATATATTTTACAATGTAATTTATTCCTGTGACACAAAGCTGAATTTTCAGCATCATTAATATTCAGTGTCACATGTTCCTTCAGAAATCATTCTAATATGCTGATTTGCTGTTAAAAAACATTTATTATTATTATTATTATTATTATTATTATCAATATTTAAAACAGCTGAGCATATTTTTTTCCGGATTCTTTGATGAATAGAAAGATCCAAATATCAGCATTTATCTGAAATAAAAAGCTTTCGTAACATTAATATACACTATACCATTCAAAAGCTTGGAGTCAGTATAATTTTCTTTTCTTTTTTGGGGGGGAAAGAAATTATAAAAATTAATACTTTTATTTAGCGAGGATGCTTTAAATTGATCAAAAGTGAGGATAAAGATGTTGATAATGTTACAAAAGATTTCTATTTCAGATAAATGCTGTTCTTCTGAACGTTCTATTCATCAAAGAAACCTAAATAAATTCCACTCAGCTGTTTTCAACATAATATTAATAATAATAATAATAATAATAAATGTTTTTTGAGCTGCAAATCAGAATATTAGAATGATTTCCGAAGGATCATGACTGGAGTAATGATGCTAAAAAATTCAGCTTTGAAATCACAGGAATAAATTACATTTTAAAAATATATTCAAATAGAAAGCAGTTATTTTAAATAGTAAAAATATTTCACAATATTACCGCTTTTGCTGTATTTTGGATCAAATAAATGCAGGCTTGGTGAGCAGAAGAGAATTATTTAAAAAACATTAAAAATCTTACTGTTCAAAAACTTTTGACTGGTAGTGTATATACTGTACACACACACACACACACACACGTAATATTATTACAACTAGTAGTGGTATTACAATAATTAAAACACTTGATTTTTTTTGACAAATATTTGCATAATTTTTGTACAAAGCATCTGATATGTCAGCAGCTGTTCACCACAACAAAGGACCAGTTAACTGATAAAGTCCTTAATTATAGCTGTTCTGACTGTAAATATTCACAGAAAATAATCACAGCATGCACTCTCACTGTGGCTTTATAGGGCATGTTCAAACTCGTGGATTAATTAGTGCTCAACATGTCACTGGTTTGTATTTAATGGGTGTGAATGAGCAAAGGACAGGCTAATTCTCTTGGGCGCTTTCTTCACTGTTGTCTCACTGCTTTGATGAACAGTTGTTCAGGGCATAAGATTACAGCAATTACTATGTGCAGCTGAAGGAGAACAACATCAGTGATTCCTAAAAATACTAGGAACTTCAAGCAAACATTTGTGTAGCCTAATAGAAAAGAAAACTTTGTATATTATCTAGGTGATACACAAATCTCTATGTTGTCTATGGGGAAGCTTTGGCAGGTTTGGGGGCACAAAACAGATATCTCTAGCCCTTCAAACTGAAGGAACCTATAGAGAAACACATTTCATTTTATGAAATAATTTGCTTGTGCCTCTGGAAATGCAACAAACATGTTTTTTAGACCTAAAATACTAACCTATGCAAGTGATAATACTAATGACATGCTCATGTTCCTATAAAATAACAAGATCTTATGCAGAAGAAACCTGTCAATTTCACAGGCACCAGAAAGAAAAGATGTGAATGTGGCATTCAGTCACTAGAGGGAGACATGGTCAGCGGTCCGTTGAGTCTCAATAGTCTGTAAAGTAATGTTCATAAAAGCTAGTTATTTAGCTGTGTTTGTATTAGCGTTGTCAAACGATTAATCGCATCCAAAATAAAAGTTTTTATTTACATAATATATGACTATACTGTGTATATTACTGTGTATACACATGCATGTATATATTTAAGAAAAATATGTTGTTTATATATTAACTATATTTATTTATAATATAAAACATTATATATATATATATATATATACTGTACATGTAAATATTTTCAAAATATATACTGAATGTGTGTGTATATGTATACATAATAAATAATATATATTTTAATAAATAAATATTTAGAATCCTTTTCCATCATTTTTTTTTTTTTTTGAGGATAATAGATATTAGTTATGATTTGTATGGTTTAGTTTTTAGGGGATATTAATAATGTTGCCAAAAAGATAAAAATGTTCTCTTGAAGCAAGGATGTCAATTAATATGACAAGGAGATGACTGCTGAACAAGGTATTATCATAATGTGCCGGCATCATGTTACAGAGAGAGACTGGGAGCCGTTAATGTTCATCTGGAGCAGATGAATGATTATTTTTTATAGCATATGTTCCTCAGCCATAAATCCACTCAACCCAACCAATACACATTAAGCACCACCATAAAAAGCAGGAAAACTTTCCAAAGGCTCCATTATTAGAGATTCACTGAATATGATCAAAGCCAAATTCACTGTTATGGACAGCACAGCAGTCTGTAGAGGAGTTAAATTATTAATTTTAATGGGTATGTTGAGACTGCTAATTATGTGACATCCATACACTTTCAGTACAGTGAAAATACAAATACAGAAATATATTGTATAAACACAGTATAAAAGGGCAAAAACACGTTCAGAAGGCCACAAATACAGTATTGTTATAGTTTTGTTCATAGACCTAAAATAACCTAATCTGTGTAACCAACAATAACAGTAACTGTACTAATGACAAAATTAAATCCATAATTATCACAAATACTGTGTATGTGCTTTCTAATAAAAAGTGGTAGTTTATGGGTCTAATACAAATACTAAATGCATTCACAAATTGTGCCAGGCTTATATAAGAAGTGCTCTAATGATTTTAGTAGATAAAATATCCCTTTGAATACACCTCAGAAATAAATGACTGTGCTGAATATTAAGACATTAATGTTGAGGTAGGCAACATTCACAATGTAGGAAAATAGAGAATATCTTCTCAAATATGATTATTTTTTTTAAATAATCATTGGTAACTCTTTTATTACAAAATGAAATCAATTATATATAATGCTTAACAGATCATTATACAAAGTACTCTAAAATAGTTTCATTTATAGTTTATTTATTCACCTTTGAATGTACACGAACTGTCTGTTAAGCAGTATATATTGTTTCAATGAATCTAAGCATGTATTAAACCTTAGGAATAATAAGGGCCTTTACTTTTTTGTCTTAAACATAGATATATGACAAGGGGGTTGAAAACGTAGCTGGTGCTCCTTCATGAAATAATAGTATTTGCCCAATGTGTTAATTTCCTTCAACAAAAGGGAAGTACAGTTTTTTCAGCTGTTCTACTGGTCACACCTTTCACGTTTGTTTGGATTCAGTGTCTTGCGGTCTTGCAGATTTTGTCATAGACTTCAGGAAATGCATCTTCACAGTTGAGTTGCTTTCTGAGTTTATGATACAATGTGCCATCGAACATTTCCCAGAATTCTTGTCGTTCCATATATACATCAGCATACAGCATCTGGAATCTAGAAATGGAAGGAAGGACTTGTGTTATACAGTACCCTACAGTATTACTTCAACAATTACATTTTAAAGACCTTTTTCACAGATAATTTTACTGAATTTTAGAAACAGGTTGTTGAACTTTGGCCTAATCATAAGTCATAACTGACCCATGAACGTCTCTGACAAACTTCTCCAGCTGCCGTGTGGAGGATCTGGCCTCAAAGTGTTTGACTTTGGGCTCCCCATACGCTCCGATATCAACATACAGTTCATCTTCATCTCCTTTAGGATGCACCATTCCTGGCTTGTTGGGCAGCACGAAGGGACAAAGCCACAGAGGATACACCTACAGCACACACATAACCATCAACAAATCAATGCACTACAGTGTTGTACATCCAATCACTTTTTTAAACAGCAATATTGTGAAATATAATTACAATTTAAAATAACGGGTTTCTATTTTAATAGATTTAAAAATGTAATTTATTCAAAGCTGAATTACTCCAGTCTTCATTGTCACAAGATGCTTCAATTCTAATATGCTGATTTGCAGCTCAAGAAACATTTCTTTCTTCTTATTACTGTTGTTAAAAACAATTGTACTGCTTCATATTTTTGTAGAAACTGTGTTACATTTTGTCAGGATCTTGAATAGAAAGTTCAAAAGAAGAGCATTTATTTGAAATAAAAATCGTTTGTAAGATTATTAATGTCTTTTCTGCCACTTTTGATCAATTTAATGCATCCTTGCTGAATAAAACTAATACTTTCTTCCCCAAAAAAAAAAAAAGGTTGAATGTTTGATATATTGGTTATACTGTCTCTTTGTCCATCATAGACATTGTTCTGATTTGGCTGCTCTAGAGCTGTTCAGTTTATACTCATAAAACCTGGAAGAGAGTTAGCTTTTCAAGTCATGCGTTCCCCCAGGAATTTCTAATGGGTTTTCAGAATAGCAGCTTTCGATTTTTGAGTAAAATAAGGTCTGACTGTGGTGAACATT